TGAATTCCCATTCCTCTCCTTACTTCTCTCCTTATACTTTATCATTCCTTATCATTCTTATTCCCCCTCCCCCACAAGACAATGTTTGGCCTTCACTTCTTCTCCAAACTACCCTCTTTCTAATTAAAATCAAAATCTTGCTGAGAAATGAATTCCTTTTAGAGTAGACTGCCCAGTGGAATCTATCCTCAGGGCATTTCCATTTAATAAAGATTAAGACCCAATTTAAATAAGTTGTGATGCTTTGAACATTTGTAGTCGTGATGTGTATTTTTGTTTGTTTTGGAAGCCACACCTGAGATCCTCTGAGACCATGCCAGCTCCTGGCGGTAGGTCTGGTAGCTCCTGGCATTACTCGAGGAGCAGTGCTGGGGATGGAATTCAGGGTCCTGCATGTATAGCACCGACCCCAGCACCCTGAGCTACCTCCCTGATCTCTCAGACACAACCCAAATTAAATCCAGATAGCTATGAATCCTACCCACTTGAAAACATATTTCAGAATTGTGAATCTCTGAGCTGGAGCAATAGTAGAGCGGGGAGAGATTTGCCTTGCACCTGGCTGAGATTCAAACCCTGACACCCCATTTGGTCCCCCGACCATCACCAGGAATAATCCCTGAGCAAAGAGCCAGGAGTAACCACAGAGCCAGGAACATCACCGGGTGTGGCACTCCAAGTTAAAGAAAATAATCTGGGAATATCTGCATTGCAATTCTTGCTTATTTTTCTCTGCATTGTCTTTCTTTTTTCCCCATTATCACTACTTTATTGAAGTAGATAGTAGGAGATCTAAACGTTAGCTTATTTTTTTTTCAAATGTAGGAGTACTGCTATTTGTTTGGCCACTGATTAAGCAGACTGAAGCACACATGAACTCCACATAAATGCTAGCCTTTTAAGCTGTGGGTGGCATCTGCCAATGGAGTTATGAATGTAAGGAAGGTGAAAAAGTTGGCATCAGTAAAAAGTTTCCAAATGTGCGACAACCAAAAGTAAATTTAAAATCAAATAATGAATCTAAGGTGTCTCCGGTAGTGCTCACCTGTGGCGCATTTCTTGGGCAAAAACAGTTGCAACTGGGGAAAAAACTAAGATCCTCTGATCGAAATGATCTAATACTTGCCTACTCCAAGCAGAAAACATGCATCAAACTTACTGCCACGCTGGGGATAAAACTCAGGGCCCCACCCAGGCAGCACAAGTGCTCTTCCACTGAGAGCTGCATCCTTGGCCCTGAACAAGCACCAGGACTATGCTCAAGGCACAAACATGACACATCCACTTAATTCTTAGTAATCTACCAATAATTGGGGGCCGGAGTGATAGTACAGAGGGGTAGGCATTTGTCTTGCATGAGACTAACCTAGGTTTGATCCCCGGTATCCCCTGTCATTCCCCACGTCAGGGGACTCCTGAGTGCAGATCCAGGAAGGGGTAACCCCTGAGCATCACCAGGTATGACCCAGAAAGAAAAAAAAATCAATCAAGTTACTAAGGCATTTATTTCTGTTATTGTTTTAACCTCTCTAGTTTTAAAATACATGTAAAAACATACAAACTCATATGCCAATAGCAAATAAACAGATAAGAAGTACTATATACATGGCACATACATAAGAAGTTCAGGAGCCAGGGTGATAGTACAGTGAGTAGGGTGCTTGCGCTGCATGCAGCTGGCCCAAGTTCAATTCCTGGAACCCCATAAGGCCTCCATAACCCTGACAGTTGTTATCCCTAAGTACAGAGAAAGCCATGAATCAGACCTGAGCATCACTGAGTGTGGCACCAAAACAAACAACAGTAGGGGCCTGGAGTGATAGTACAGCGGGTAGGGTGTTTGCCTGCCATGAGGTCGACCCGGGTTCAATTCCCAGCATCCCATAAAGTCCCCCCGAGCACCGCCAGGAGTAATTCCTGAGTGCAAAGCCAGGAGTAACCCCTGTGCATCACCGGGTGTGACCCAAAAAGAAAACAAAAACAAAAACAAAACAAAGAAACAAACAACAGTAACAACAACCCCCCAAAAGTTCAGAGAAGTTTGAGGACTGGAGCAATAGTACAGTGGGCAAGGTATTTGCTTTGCACACAGCCAACCCAGGTTTGATCCCCAACTGCCCACATGGTGCCCTGAGCCCCGTCAAGAATGATCCCTGAGTGCAAAGCCAGGAGTAAGCCCTGGATACCACTGGGTGTGGCCCCAAACAAACAAACACAAGAAGTTCAGCAAAGTGAGAAACCAATTTAGCAGAATTAGGTCATGAGAGAATGTACAAAAGAAGAAAATGATCAGTATTGGATTTTGAAGGATTCCAAGAGTTGGAAAAGAAAGGGACAAAAATGGAGAAGAGGCTAGAGACACTGAAGAAAGGGACAAAAATGGAGAAGGGGCTAGAGAGAGAGAGTACACGGATCAAGGCTGCTGGTCCCAGTTCAATCCCCAGCACTGCATATGATCCTAGTGCACTATCAGAAGTCACTCCTGAGCACAGAACTAGGAATAACCCTGAGCACTACCAGGGATATCTCAAACCCCACAACATAGGAATAAGAAGGAGGAGGAGGAGGAGGATGAGGAGGAGGAGGAGGAGGAGGAGGAGGAGGAGGAGGAGGAGAGGAGAGGAGAGGAGGAGGAGGAGGAGGAGAGGAGAGGAGGAGGAGGAGGAGGAGGAGAGGAGGAGGAGGAGGAGGAGAGGAGAGGAGGAGGAGGAGGAGGAGGAGAGGAGGAGGAGGAGGAGGAGGAGGAGGAGAGGAGAGGAGAGGAGGAGGAGGAGGAGGAGGAGGAGGAGAGGAGAGGAGGAGGAGGAGGAGGAGGAGGAGGAGGAGAGTAGGTTCCAAGGAAGTCAGGTGGTTACAAAATGACGAGAAACAACAAGAATTGGAGGGGAAAGGAGAGGCGATGAGAAGATAAGGTTAAGTAATAATACAGGAGCTATATGCAGATGGGAAGGAAGTTCTCAGAGATTGAAGAGAAACAAGATCTCTTTTCTTTTGGGCATTTTGGTTTGCAATACAGGTACATGTATATCTTTACCTACTTTCAAGAGAGAGAGAGAGAGAGAGAGAGAGAGAGAGAGAGAGAGAGAGAGAGAGAGATTACCTGCCATTAAGGCAGGCAGGGGTGGGAAACATGAGAGGGAAACTGGGGACATTGGTGGTGGGAAATGTACACTGATGAAGAAATGGGTGTTGGCACATTGTGTATGGCTGAAACCCAATCATCAACAACATAGCAACTTAAAATTGAAGAAAATTTAAAGAAAAAAAGGAAAGAATTGTCACCATAAGAGCCATTCTTTTTTGACGATCTCATGAATTTTCCAGTATTCACCTCAAGTGCAGAGTTTTCCACAAGAGTCAGCCATGTTTTGTTGTTAATAAATATTGTTGGAAAATGAGAATCAATATAGTTTAGTGTTTTATTCTGTATGAATGTGACAAAATAGGAAGAAGGAGAAATCATGTTTTAGGCTCTAGGAGTTTTCAGCCTCAGTAAAGGAGAGAAAAGAAAAGAGGGGCTGGAGTAAGAGAGAGAGAGAGAGAGAGAGAGAGACGAGAGACAGAGAGAGAGACAGAGAGAGAGACAGAGACAGAAACAGAGAGAGACAGAGACAGAGACAGAGAGAGAAGGCTGACATGTATCATCTAACATAAAAATAATTTTTAAATATAGAGCTACAAACAAAATAAAGTACAATATAACCAGTGTCACAGTGCTTCAAAGAACCCAAAATGAAAATCACTCTGGGGACTGAAAACATAGTCCAAAGGGAGTTGAATGCAACAGCCCTTGGGGTGCCCTGGATCCATCCCACCACCAGATGAGCTTCCGGCATGGGGAGAAGGATCACCCCAGCACCAAGGCAAGAGCAGCCCTGAGCACCGCTGGGTGTGCCCTTCTAAGAAAAGAAAAGAAAGAAATGACTCTGATTAAAGTATGAGAGAAGTTTCACGGAAGAGAAAGCAAAGGTGGTGCAAGGAGCATGGGCTCCTTGGCAGCAGGACCCTCTGTTCCCTTCTCTGAGCGTTGTTGGTTCCACGCTGTCACCTCCTCTCATCTCAGACAATTCTGCCTACGCTGTCTCCGCCCCTCCTTGCCTCCATTAGACAGCAGAAACTTCCAGGGGGGAAAATATAGTTTCACTTCTTGCCTTGCAACAAGTTGAAATCTTTCTACACAAGATCAGCTTGCCAAAGGAAGTGGTAAAGACAGAATTCTCAAATCTAACTACTGGTGAAAAAAGAAAATGAGAGGAAGAGAAATGTGTTGTGTTTTGTTTTGTTTTTAACTAGAGTAATTGTGTTGTGTTTTATTTTTAAGTAGTTTGGTACTCCCTCTCTTCCCCTCCCACCAGGTCGCAGGTGAGGTGATAGGTAACGTATGTAGCACAATAGTGAGAGAGGGATGTGTTGGGTGAGATTATTGTGACCCACTATGAAGATTACAGACCCTGCCAATGAATGATAGATAAGAAAAAAGGATGAGAAAAAAGCTTCTAGTTTCTGGGCACTTAATGGACTTTCTCCTCATAGTGTTTTTTTCCTTTTCACATGGGGAAACAGGTTGGTTAAATGAAACAGAGTAAATTGTTAGCAGGTATGCAGGGAATTGAAGCTGGGTCTTCCAGTTCTATGGCTGATGGTCTTGTCACTAGATGATATTTCCATTAACAGATGTAAGCAAGCGCCTTAACTTTTGTGTGGGCACCAATCCTGTCATAGGTATACAATAGCTACCTCCTTAATAACTTTCTGTTTTTCCTTTTCCTTTTGGGGTCACACCCAGAGATGCTCAGGGGTTACTTCTGGCTCTGCACTCAGGAATTACTCTTGGCAGTGCTTAGGGGACCATATGGGATGCCTGGGATTGAACTCAGGTCGGTCGCTTGCAAGGCAAATGCCTTACCAGCTGTACTATCGCTCCGGTCCCCTTAATAACTTTTTTATTGTCACCTTTTACTTTTACCCTTTGTTACAGAATGTCTTGCCATTGACCTGAGATGGAGATCTCTCTTCTGCTACTCAGCCTAGGACTGATTCTGACAAGATATTCAGAGAGCAAAATGAAGATAATTATAGAAGAATTTTCAAAGGAAGAGATGCAATACGATGTGACAAAACATGACCAAAAAAAGCAGACTCTTGAGGTATTATAATATAATGTTTTATAATAATACCAGAGTCTGTATGCCCAAGAATATTTTGTCTTCTTCATTACTGATGTTCAGAAGATCACATTATAACTTTTCCCAGGGAAACAGTTCAGGCAATGACAAAGAAAATCGCAATGACATGATATTCTGGACTCAAGATTTGGAAGTTAATGGGTCCTATGAGGTGAGGAAGAACTATGTTCATGGCTCCTTATCAGTGAAATGTGATAACCCCAAGACTCCCAGCTGTAAGTGTGGACAGAATCCTGGGATAAGCTATGCTGATAGCCTGGAGTTGAGGACCAATATATGCCAGTTCATCATGAACAAACAATTTACCTGGTCCCAGCACTACAGGATCACGTCAGTGAAGAAAATATTGGCAGTGCTACCGGGTCATTCTCTGATGAGTTAGTTAGTTAGTGGTTCCAAGCTGTAAATCCTACAGGAAGTTGAAATTAGCCTCTCTAAAGAAAGACACTTAGGTGATTACATTGTCAGTACATACATAACAATTTGATCTGGCAGAATCATTATAGTTTCAAAGTCTGTGACTGTAAGTATGACAGAAGTCTAAGCCAGGTGCTGTGAAGAATCACACTTCCATTTGTTGTTTTCTGATGTTGTGATAAAGTTTATTTTTACAAACAGTTGTTTGAAATCTTTCTGTAGCTCTTAATCTCCACATGGGTCACAAGAATCTCACACAACCCATAACATGTGTGTCATTATCTTCATCAATGTGTGCCTATGTGCTCTTATTTCTCACCTCTTTCCTTCAAAAGACCACTCTCTTTTAATGTGCTAATTTTAAGTAAATGCATGTAAGTAAATGTTATACTGAAAACTAACCCAAGGAACTTAAGAGCTGAATTTATTATTAAAAGCAGGAAGCTGGTCTGGGAAGACAAGGTAGCCTTCTTTTGTGTCCCTGCCCCAACCTAACCCCACAAATCCTCAGACATGGACAGGTCGAACCTTAACTCAGAAATACCAATGTTTGGTTCAGGTGTGCAGATAAGATAGAATGTGCCTTAGAAGACCAGCCCACACACAGTGCCCAAACTTTCTAGATATGTACTTTCCGCGCCCCCCCTCCCCATAAATACTGCTTCTTAAGACTATATCCTTAAGAAGGTCACTTTGAGGAAGTGAATTTGTCCTCTTCTGTCCTGCTAGCTTGTTACCAATAAAGTTCTTTCTTAGCCCATCATGGGCTGGAGCGATAGCACAGCGGGTAGGGCGTCTGCCTTGCACGCAGCCAACATGGCCGACCCGAGTTCGATTCCTCCGCCCCTCTCGGAGAGCCCGGCAAGCTACCGAGAGTAGTTGATATGCCAGACACAGTAACAACAAAGTCTCCAATGGAGACGTTACTGGGCCCGCTCGAGCAAATCGACGATCAATGGGAGGGCCTTTACCTTATTTACCTTAGCCCATCATGGTGTCTCTTGATTGATTCTTCAAATTTTTTTTTCTGGTTTCTGGGCCACACCCGGAGGTGCTCAGGGCTTACTCCTGGGCTCTATGCTCAAGGTTCACTCTTGGTGGACTCGGGAGAGCATATGGTGTGCTGGAGATCGGACCTGGGTGGGCCCCATGCAAGACATGCTCCCTACCTGTTGTAGTAATGCTCTGGCCCCAGTTGACCGACTCTTTATAGATCATAAAAATGATATTTGTTGTTAGGATTCCACTAACATCTTGTTCCTGCTTCATATCACTGCTTGTACAGAAACTTTTCTAATGTTTTTCACATTGGTACAGAATAATTCTCATTCTGGCAAAACTCAGATAATCAACCAATAGGCAGCATTAGGGTGGGTATATTTTGGTGATCATTTAGCTAGTGTGGTGGCTACTTAGAGTAAGTATTCACCATGGACTAGGTCATAGAGGTATACAATTAACACTTACTTAGCACTTGGCAATCAGGAAAGAAATGTCTGGGGTCCGAAGTTCTCATTGAGGAGGGCTGCACTGGAGGCCTGAAGGGAATGTACATATGGGATCCATGGCTACCTTGTACTCACTGAAACCAGAATAGCTCTGTCCATATTGGAGCCGTGCAATAAGCCTGTCCTCATTCAAACGTGACTCCTACAGAGAGTCTAGCTGAGGTAATGGGCATGACAACCTCAGTGGCAATAACTATTTAGGCCTAGGAGAATTTTTTTTTTGACAATATGTAAGAAAAAGCAAATCCAGCCTAGTACAATTATTATTCCCTTATGATGTTTCTTTATATGAGAAAGATCATTTTGTACTTATTACATTCCTCTACCTAACCTAACTCAGCATAACACCTCTAGTTTCATCCACATGGTAGCAAATGACATGACTTCATATTTTCTTACAGCTGAGTACTAATTCGTTGACTTAGTTTCTTTTCCTACTTATCGTTCTTTTATACTTGAGTTGCTTCCACATCTTGACTGCTGTGAATAATAAATGCTGCGATAAGCATAGGAGTGTGATGTCTTCTCAAAATAGCATTTGGGACTTTGGGGAAGAGATGCCAAGAAGTGGAATCACTGGATTATAAAGAAATTTGATTTTTACTTCTTTGAGGAGTCTCCATACTATTTTCCACAGTCTGAATCAGACAGTATTCCTATCACTTATGGATAAGCGTTCTTAATCCCCATATCCTCTCCAGATTTGCCTGTTTCTACTCTTTAGCATGTCCAAACACATAGAAGATGTGTGGAAGCCAAGTGTCAGCACTCCAGGATAGCGTACAGGTCTCCATTCCTGTTGTCACATCTGCACTATCTCCTTCCCTTGAGTTTGGTGAATATGATGGGATAGTCACTTTGTGGTGTATAGTCCATGTAATAGACTTTGAGGAAAGAATTTGGAAATGGATTCTTCCTACAACCCCCTAATAGCAACGCTAGCTGTCTGACACCTTGAGTGTCACTGGATAAAGAACAAAGCTGAGGCCAAATTTAGGCCCTCTGAGCTCTAAGACAGTAAATATTGCTCAAGTCACTGAGCTTGTTACTGTATCACTGTATCACTGTCGTCCCATGTTTGTCAATTTACTTGAGCAGGCACCCGTAATATCTCTATTCGTCCCAGCCCTCAGACTTTAGTAGCCTCTCCTTACTCATCTTTCCCAACGATTGGAGGCTCTTTCAGGGTCAGGGAAATGAGACCCGTTATAGTTACTGGTTTTGGCATATTGAATATGACACGGGTAGCTTGCCAGGTTCTGCCCGTGTGGGCAGGATACTCTCTGTAGCTTGCCGGGCACTCCGAGAGGCATATTATGTGTGTGTGTGTGTGTGTGTGTGTGTGTGTGTATATATACACACACACATATATATGATCTGTTGCATATATAGTACTGGTACTGGTAGATGCGGCAGAAGCTGGGAAAAGCATTCATAATGCCCGCCTGTCCTTCATCAACTACAAAACCAAGATGACTGCCCTCCGACATTATGATGGATCTATCACATCTTCCAGAAGGGCAATAGAGAAGATTATTCATGACTTCTACTCAGATCTCTTTAATAGCCACGTCCACTTGCCCACATACCACATACCACATGATGGATATGTCGTTCCCAATGTTCTCCCTTCTGAAATCCAACATGCCATCTCGTCGGTAAAGAAACAAAGAGCACCTGGCCCAGACAAGATCAGACCTGAACACCTGAAGAACTTACCATCAGTGCTCATCAATACATTGGCTCGCTCTTCACACGCTACCTGTCTGAATGCAAGGTTCCATCCCAATGGAAAACCAGCAGGACTGTACTACTATACAAGAAAGGAGACATCTGTGACATTGGCAACTATCGCCCAATCTGCCTATTGTCTGTCTACAAACTGTTCACTCGAGTCATCCTGAATAGGATTAGCAGAACACTAGATGAAGGACAACCATGTGAACAAGCCGGATTCCGAAAAGGATTCAGTACCATCGACCATATCCACACGATTACTAAGCTCATTGAGGTTTCTCGGGAGTTCAAGATGCCACTCTGTCTAACGTTCATTGATTTAAAGAAGGCCTTTGATTCTGTTGAGACGGAAGCGGTTATGGAAGCCCTAGCCAATCAGGGCGTACAAACTCAATACATCAGGATCCTTCGTGAGCTCTATTGCGGATTCACTACCAAGATCTCACCATTCTACAAAGAAGTAATCATCCATATCAAGAGAGGGGTTCGGCAGGGTGATACCATTTCACCAAAACTCTTCAGTGCCACCCTCGAGAACATCATGCGACGACTGGAATGGGAAAGCATGGGAGTGAAGATAGATGGTCGGCAACTACACCACCTCCGCTTTGCTGATGACATCGTTCTAATAACACCAAACATCAACCAAGCGGCACAAATGCTGAACGACTTTGACCGTGAATGTGGAAAGGTCGGACTACAGCTGAATCTTATGAAGACAATGTTTATGAGAAACAGCCTTGTTCCTGACGCTCCATTCGCTCTCAACGGAACCACCATCTCCGAATGCAACAGTTATATATACCTAGGTCGAGAAATCAACATGATGAATGACCTGGCACCTGAGTTGTGCAGGAGGAAGAGAGCGGCTTGGAATGCCTTCAAGAATGTTAAAGAAATAACTAAAAGGACAAAGAACCTCCAGCTACGAGCACACCTCTTTGATTCCACTGTTCTTCCTGCATTAACATATGCCTCAGAGACCTGGACCCTACGAAAACAGGATGAGAACGCTATTCGGGTCTCTCAAAGAGGAATCGAAAGAGCTATGCTTGGAATATCACGATTCACTCAAATGAGAGATAGAATCCGGAGTTCTGATCTTCGTCAACGCTCAAGAATCAGGGACGCTGTCTCATTTGCCAAGACATCAAAAATCAGATGGGCTGGACACGTAATGAGGTTTACAGACAACCGCTGGGCTAGAGCCATTACTGATTGGATTCCACGGGACATCAAAAGATCACGTGGACGCCCACCTACAAGATGGTCAGACTTCTTTGTCAAGACCCTGAATGATCGGTTTGAGGCTCTGCATGTTCCTAGAACGAACAGATACCATTGGGCTACGCTAGCATGCAACCGGGATGAATGGAGACGTTACTGGTACCCGCTCAAGTAAATCGATGAATAACGGGGATTAAGTGATTAAGTGATATTATCTGTTGCCTACTGTCTGAACTCCATCAAACATGGTGTGGTAGTTATGGACAATGGGTAGGAAGTGTCCCATGATGTATCTGAAAGTGTCCTGGAATGTGGCTGTGGTTGAGTAGTGGAGGTTGGTTGCTGGGGCTGGATCTCTTGGGGCTGGGAGGGCTCTCCTCCACCCACCTCTGGGGCTCCCAGAGTGGAAACAGCTTGGTGCGGAGTTTGGTGGCATGGTTATGGGGCCCTCCTTTTATACTCCTGTCTGGGAGGAGCAGCCGTGAGTTCTGGAGGGTGGTTGATGAGGAGATTATCT